TTTTTTTTTTTTTTTTGGGGAGATGCTATAGTCCCCGTTACGAAACCATTCCGTCTGAGTTTATAATCGTTGAATCATCATGTAATCATCGGAATGATGATCTAACGGATACAAAACCAGACGGAATAGTTCCGTAACAGAATTGTAGTATTTTCATTTTTTTTTTGGATGTTTCTAATTTATTTATAAGTACAAGTTTCTACTCATTCTCATTTCTTGTATTATTTACCATAATTTTTATTTTAATTATCGTGTACCCGTGTAATCTAATTTGATTAATTAATGTTTATTTATGAATAACGTGACATATAATTGGAAGAATCAAAATATATATGACAAATATTGTAGTTACATTTATTAATCACCTCTTGGGCTATAATGACATTATCAAGAAGCTCCCTTCCTGGAAGGCTGGAATGAATGCAACTTGGTTCTCACTCACACAAGACTGAAAACAATTCTTTAACATTGGGCCAGTGTGCCTTTTTGGGGACATGACAAATATCAAACTCGTGGGCGGTAAGCCTTTTTCACATTGGATGGTGACATCTGCATGAAGAAGACTATGTCGGTGATGAGATCGGAGCAAAGGAAGCATTATGTGGTCGATAGTGATATCGGGATCTTGGTTGCGAGGAACAAACGATGTGATGAGATCGGTACGTAAGAAGCCTTGTGTGGTAGGTGTTGATATCGTAATCTTGGTCCCAAGGGACGAATGTCGATGTGACTCTAGAAAGCGTATGATGATGATACAATTGAGAAAGCCGATTTAGTTTTAAGGAAATTTGTCCACGGCGCAAATAATGCTCCAAGTCATCACTATTATGAGTTAATTCATAACGATAGATAATATACATAATAGAGGGCCTCAAGGACACAAATCTCATTTCTTACTCAGCTACACATAGTCACATAGGAGCTTTAGAGGGGATTATTTTAGAAAAAATTGTGATGATATTATTTTGTCTTTAGTAATTTTTCTAATTTATTTGTAAGTACAAGTTTCTACAACATTGATGCGCCAGAGAAAATGATATTTAGAAATGTTGACGTGTGAAATCAATAACTGTTGTAATAAATGTAAAGTGTAATTAAAACAAATGATATAGAAGTTGCAATTAAATTGATGTTTGTTTCTATAAGCTTGCACGTTTCTATTATTTTTTCAGCTTTGGGTACTTTTCTCGGTAATTTTTTATGATTCTTCGATGCCTCAACCTCATGGAGGTTGTTATAATCTATACTGGGTAAAAATAAAAATAATCATGACTTCTTGATGAGTCATCGGACACGCATCGCGTGTCTAAGGGGCTACCCACGTGCAACGTGTTTAATGTCAGTGTGCCTTTTCGGGGACATGACATATATCAAACTCGTGGGCGGTAATCCTTTCACACTTGATGGTGACATCTGCATGAAGAAAACTATATCGGTGTTGCGAAGGAAGCCTTATGTGGTCGATGTTGATATTGGGATCTTGGTCGCAAGGATCGAACGACGTGATGAGATCGACACGTAAGAAGCCTTGTGTGTTAGTTGTTGATATCGTAATCTTGGTCCCAAGGGACGAATGTCGATGTAACTCTGGAAAGCATATGGTGATGATACAATTGAGAAAGTTGATTTAATTTTGAGGAAATTTGTCCGCAGTGCAAATAATGCTCCAAGTCATCACTATTACGAGTCAATTCAGAACAACAGATAGTTTACATAATAGGGGGCTCTAAGTCCCTATGACCATTTGTGAAGCACTATTGGGTGCGATAAGTTATTCATTCACAGATGTCAATCTATCGATGTGCCATATGTGAGGTCGTGTAACTGTAATTGATATCCATTGTTCATTAATGAGGAATCTTGCGCCATAAATGGTCAACCCATTACTATAGAAATAAAGGTCCTTTATTAAGGGAATAAAGGTCATTTTCTTTCAGCGCATTAAATGCAGGCGCGACAATTAATTAAGTGGAGAGAGAGAGAGACAGAGAGAAAGTTATGAAAAGGCGTGTCTGGCTTTTGCATGCATGACATGTGTCTTCGAGAGAGACGTTGGCGTGCGAAACTTCGAACCTTTACGAAATGTTTGTTAGAACGTGTCAATTATCACTGAAACACGTCAATCAATGTTGTAACATGGAAAGTCTTGCCTTTGTTACTCGATCTAAGGGTTTTATAAATAGATAGAGGAAAATCATTTTTTTTTCCTTTTTTCACTTTTGCCAAACCCTAATTCCCTTGAGAGAGAAAAAGGGCAAGTTCATAACTCCATTCAACCTCATACCGACATTGCACTTGTTCGAGAGAACTTTTTCAAGTACTTACGAAATTCGCTTCACTAATCATACCTTTTTTATCCTCTTTTTTTTTTTTTTTCTTTTTCAACTATATACTGAAATATATTTTCGCCATCTGTAGAGAATTACGTGGCAACTCTGAGGGCAGAGGCGCAAAATGCAGTACCGACGCTGGAAGGGTCTTCTATGGCTCTTATAATAAACACAATACCTGGAGCTTTCTAATGCGGATTCTTCCATTAAGATTGATCTTAGATCGGGGAGAATCCCATTGTTTTTAGTATCTTCATAAATGGTTGTGATACCAATGGTGCAGACCATCTTATAGTTGGTCGTTGTCTCTTCTTGTTTTCTCTGGACGCTCTGATTCATGCGCCCAGGCTTCTTGATTTTTGGGACCTCAAAGTGGTTGTGTTGCCTTGGCTTTCACAAGTGGGCCTTTCGATATCTTGAAGATCGATAAAGACATGGTTTCCACGGCAATTATATATTGTTGGGCTCGCGCGAGGAACTCATGGTAAGTTGTTGGTTTGTTCTTGCATAGGGACTAGTGAAACAAGGAGTTGGGGCGGAGTCCGCCATACGCCGCCACCAAAAGCGTCTTCAGGTGACATGGTTCCATATTTTGCACTCGGTTATTAAATTGAGCCACATAGTCCTTCTAGCTCTCAACGGCCTCCTACATTTTTGTTGGCGATGGACTCCTTGAGAATCATGTTAATTTGGAAGTCGATGAAGTGCATGTGGAACACCGATTTTCATCTAGTCCCATTCGTTTATTATTCTCGGGGCAGCAAGTGGTACCACCTTTGGGATTTTGGCCCCAAAGTAAGCGAGAAAGGCGGTAGTGAAGAGCGCGTCAGGTCCATCCGTGAGATGTATTTCCCCAAGTCCTCATCAGGGTCATAATCCACATTGTCCCCATTGTAGAGACCGATTTGGGGCACCTTAATTTTGTCGGCCATTACCTTGACCAGAATGTGAGAAGATATGGGACTTCTAATCGACAGAGATAGCCGGGAAGACCGTAGGAGGGTGAGAAAAAAATTAAGGGTAGAGGGTTAGTGAGGTCGTGAGTTCTTCTAGGCCTCCATATCGGCAATACGTTGCGTACAATCGTGATCTCTGTAACCTCCTTATTGGATGAAAGCTATTTTTAACTCTCCGTCAAACTTAAATATATATTAAATCATCATGTAGGGAAGCATACAAGTGAGACGATGGTAATGTGATAGTAACCTCAAGAACATCTAAACACGATAACAAATCATATTTTCATTCAATAATTCATAATCAACTGAATAAAACAACATATGAGACGATGTTAATGAAATAGCAACCTAAAAAACATCTAACGATATCAAATCATATATTTTTCATTCAGTAATTCATAATCAACTGAATAAAACAATATATGAAGAGCCCTTTAGTTAAAACTTCTAAACCTTATTTCTAACTTATCCAACAAGACGAGATCTCTTATTAAATATTAAATGTTAATAATAATAATAATAATAACAAGAATAATAATTTTGATAATTATATTAATGGGGCCTTATCCGCATCACAAAACAAGGATGTGTTTCTTCTATTATAAGTAAACGCCCAATATCTTGAGCCTTTGTTAATGTAACTTTCATGATGATGATGATGATTTTATAATATAATCAGTTAATTTCAACAACAAAAAATAAACCATCATCATTAATTTATATACATACACAAGATGGTCCTCCTCTTGTAAAAATGTGCTAGAATTGCATTTTTGGGCTAAGCTCTTAATAAAGACTACTGTGGGTAGAAAAATGGTCCGTAACGGGACCGTAATATTTCTCGTTATTAAATATATGGTCCTCCACCTCCACTCATAAAAGTATATTGATACGTGCCAAAGTTTTCTAATCATCACACACACACTTTTTTTTCTTTTCTAATAATTTAATTTTCGTTTCATTTTTTTGGGCAGAGTTGTGAGTGGGTTAGTTGAGTTGCAACGAAATCTTGACACCCGTACTTATATAATGGCTTACAAAGCCCACATTGTTAATTTCATGAATCATCATATACTTGTTGTAAGGTAAGATATTGGTCCTACACTAACATAATTTTATCATTTTGTTGAGTTGCCAGCGCAACAATCAGTGGTTTATTTATTTAAAATAATAACAGTAGAAGTAGTAGTATCCACTATGAATAAATTTGATGTACATTGGATACTAGTACAACGCTCGTGTATTACATTGGTGCTTGCTAATTTTTTCTTAAAATCTAAAATTAATGAGAAAAAGTAATTGAAAATTTAAATACCTTTTATAAAACTATATATATTATTATATATTTAGTATGACATTTTTTTATTTGTGCGACTTACTTGTGTGTTATATTATAATAATTTTTTAACTTACAACGTATAACTATATTAAACATAAATATAATTTTATTTTTCTAATGAATTTTAATAAATATTATTATTTTTTATTATTACAAAAATAAATATAATTTATTTATTTCATATATACAATATGGATGTCAAATCGAAGATCATCAAAAGATGATTAATTTGATATATTATATATATAAAACCGATAAGAAATACAAAAGTTATCAACTTTTAAAATACATTTACAATTAAATAACTAATAGAAGGAAACAAATAAAAAGTCATGGATATATTAGTCACTTAATGTCTCACTATGTAAAATTACAAAGAATTAAAACTATGTAAAATTACAAAGAATTAAAGGGTTATATTAGTACAAGTGATATTAAAATACCTAAGTTAGTTATTTAATATTTATGGAATGTCCGAACCTAAATTATTAATTATTAATATATCAATATTATTTGTTCAAACCTAACTACAAAGCATGATTCTTTGCCAAATAGGATTCCGAAACACCAGAAGCAGCTATGTAGGCTCAGCGCATTCAGGAATAATATATAGGGAGGATATAGGGAGGATAAGTCACATATATATTACAATTAATTTCAGCACAAATTAACACAAATTAACAGTACTGTTTTAGTAAATAATACGATCCATTCACCATATTTTACCATTGACAAGATACAAACTATTAGAATAAGAAATTATTGTTTTTGTGTTATAAAAAACCTACTGAAATTGATATTTTACATTTTTTTAAAAATACAAACTATTACCTCAACTATTATTATAATTGTATAATGTTTTAAATAAATATTTCCTATATATTTCTAATTCACGAACTACAAACTATTATGGTTAATGTAGCGAGATAAAATATATATGTAGACAGCTCTATCTTTTTACTAAGGATCGTGTATATCTATTGTATAAAATAGATTTTAATAAAGATTATACATTGTTCTAAATCTTATTATATATATCTAAATATTTTCATTTCTTTCATTTATTTTCAAAGTTTTCTACAAGTGTTTTAACATATATTTACATATTTTGCATATTTCTTCCTAAGATAATATATATAATTTCAAAAACACACATGTATTAGAACTCCCGACCAATATAATAATAATAATAATGATAATAATAATAATAACAATAATAATAATAGACATGATTGTTTTTATTTTCAAGCAATTAAGAACTGGACATAAAAGAAAAAAATAGCTAATGACCTAAATAACGACTTCAGACTAAAAAAAATTAATATAGTGACTAGACTACCGTCCTTTCATAGAGGACGATTTTTATTTCAAGTTCGAATGATTACCGTAACAGTAGGAAAGAAACACTATTTCGTTCCCGACCTTGAAGGAAATTTTGAGTTAGAGAGATTAAGTTCTCGAAGCATGTTACGGATCATTTCACTTAACTCTCGACAGTCCTTTCTTATCCGACGTTTCATTCTGTTTTTAATTTCTGCAATTTCATCCTTGTCTTGCCGCTTTATCTCTGCAATCTCGTGAGTCACTTTTTCCTTTAACTCGTGGCGAATTTCCTTTTCTATTTCAAATCGCTAATTTTCAAATCGAGGTAGAATCACCTCACTACAGCTAATTTTCAGTCCCTTTATTATTCAAAAGTAGTATATATGGCAATCATTTTCGACATTAATCATCATAATGAATCTTTGAATTAAAATTCAAATTTCAATAAAATCTTGTTATGTATATTTAATTTTAACAATTAATTATTGTTTTTATTTGAATTAAATCTAGCCAACTAAATAAAGGAAATGTGGTTTCATAATAAAATCAAATTAGATTCCGTTACAAAAACTCATAGCCATGACACCAATTTAAATCCGTGCAAAATTATGTTACTAATATTGTAATAATGGCACCAATATTAATCCATTGCAAAAATTCATTACTAATGCACTAAATGAGTAAATTGTAGTAGTGGTAGTATATTTTGTGACATTATTGTTACACATTAAATATATCATTGTATGGAACTTAACTTCACGTTAGTATATGACGACGTTGAAGTCAACCTCAAATAAAAACAATATCTTCGAGTAATTAATTAATTCAGGGTTTAATTTTACAATCACAAACTACCCAAAATGTTTAGAATAATAAAAATATAAAAATGGTAATAGTAATTGCATCATATTTTATATGCTGTAATTTAATTGGAATGCCAAAATGATGTGGTTCGTACTATAGAGCAATAAAATCTTGAGGCGTAACAGCAGGTTCAGGGGAGATTGTCAAACTTGCATGAGCCATGGCCTGCCATTAATGTTAACAAAGCAAACACATTTTTCAGACAAATTTATTTATTCTTCTAAAAGGAGAAATTAAGGAAATAGACACAACTAGAAAAAAAAAAATAAATAAATAAAGCATTTTGGGGGCAAACATAAGCCACAAATTAAGCCAATCATATCGAATAATTGGTGTGGTTTTTGGGGTTTCTCGAGATTTTTTGAGATTTTTTTAAGATTTTGGAAGAAATTCTGGTGTATTTAATTTAATTTTTTTAAAATTATTTAAAAGCCTGAAAATATTCATTCGAGATTTAAAAAGTCTTTCAAAATCCTGAGTATTTTAATATATCTGAGACTATGATCTATTAAGACTTTTTAAAATTTGTTGGGATTTTAATTAAAAAAAAACTATATACAAAATCTCACTCCAAATCTCATCTGCAAACTCAAGATTAGGATCCTCCTAAGTCTGAAAATTTAAAAAACCTCAAATCTCAAAAAACTCAAAATCAAGTTTTTGATATATGTTAGTGAGTAGACACTAAAATCCTAAAAATATGTAAGAATAATACAACTTTTTGATATCAAGTTTAAGTGATTGCCAAGATTGAAAAAGTGAGATCTAGTTGATGAATGGCATTTGTTGAAACTTGAAACAGAACACAAAGTCACTGAGTCAAATGATTTGAGACAAAAGAAAACATATGCCATGATATATAAGAATATTTTATATATCTTACTAGGATTAAGAGAAGATAAAACAGCCGCTGCATTGAAATAGCAACTCCCTCCTCTGTGCTTCATATTCTGATAGTAACTATTAAACGCATAAGACGCGTGGTCCTTTAGCGTGTTGGGCAGATAGCACGGTTGATTCTCTTGGATCGGACGACAATCAGCCCCATTGCCACATGCCCACTTCACAGCTGCCAACAGCTCATCATCCGGGGTTTGCTCGTCTGCTATGCAGTAGTCCTCAAACTGTGCATCTATAAGTAAAACACAACATAGATTATATATACATCTTCTTTGTTTCATTTCTGTATGTACGACAAAAAAAATAAATAAATAAATAAATAAATAAATAAATACCTGAATTAGATAACACTAACAGCAAGAAGACTAGAGTGATCAAAATCTTGGGGAAGAGTATCGGCATTGGGCTGCAATTGAAGCTTTCACCGGATTTGTAGATTGGCAAATGTATATATGTATATGAAGTATATAAAGTGAACTTGCTTAAAGGGTATTGCTAACTGCAAAAATAATCCAAAATCACAAATTATGAGAGCATCCAGATTTCCTTTACCCCCAAGCAATACATGAAGTATAGCTTGATTCTTTCATGACAACCAGCTTTCTCCTTTTTCTCCACATGTCCAGATAGATAATCAATCAGCTGAGCATCTTTTGTTCACCTTTTCACATAAAATGAGTATATATAGCCATTATATGGCTCATTACACCTTAACATTAAGTTATTGTACTTCCATAAAAAACAAAATACATATAAAAAAGTACATGACCGCGCTTTCTTAGGAAATTAGTACAACAGGCAGGTCCGACCGCACAAGGAAAAAAAATTAAAAATAAAATATAAAAAACCAAACTTTTCACTTCAAAATGTCACACATATTACTTTTAAATAAACAGACATTCATGGAATCCCACCTTCCCCCTTGACAGAAGGCGACGTACCATACATATTCTTGAGTAGATCTTGAATCTTACTGTACATCATCTGAGAGGGGTCACCACCCCCTCCCCCTCCCCCACCTTGCGAGGAGGCCCTCGAGCTCTCTTGGAGCTTGATCTTCTCAAACAAGTACTGCTTCTCAGCCTCAGCCTCGTGCAGTCTCTGCTTCAGGTACCTGCTAGCATAATCCTCCTCCGACTTCTCTGTCTTGGCAAGGGCTATCCTCTGGAGGCGTTCAGCTTCCCGGCGGGCCTCGTTAGCCTTGAGCTCAAACATATCGGCCTCCGCTTGCTTGAGCCGCACAATGCTCTCGAGCTCGTCTATCTGCATCTTCTTCCTCTGCCTTTCCATCTTTAAGGCAGCCACCTCGCGGGCCTTGTCCTTGAGCTCCTGCTCACAGGCGTCGACCGCCAGCCGGGCTTTCTTGACGAGGCGCATTTTCTCCTCGGCCACGGCTTCCATTTTGCGGACGGCTTCTTGGACTACATCGGCTATTTTGTTGAAGGCCTCCTGTGGGGATATGGTGCGGTTGGGTTCGTCGGGATCTTGGGACTTCAAGGGGTCCTCGAGCTCTGTGGAGGGAAGAGTGGTTTTCGCAAGAGGAACATAAAAAATATATGGAAAGGGAGAAAGAGAGGTTGCCCAGCACACATTTATATACATTAACAGTTAAATAACTTTGTCTACAGAACACACAATTTCCGATTAGGAGATGAATGTATATCTAATTGCCAGGATTCAGAGAGAGATTCAGGTTATGTAGAAAGACGAGCTTAATGCAAGACTTTTGTGTAAGATTTCAGTAGTTTGATTCAAATTGGGTGTAGAAATAAAAACAGGTTGTATTACTCGATGGAAGCGCAGCTATTTAGACCCCTTTTTTATGCAATTGACACTTTCTATTGGTAAACTTTGCTTTCCCATAATATATCCTTTCAAACTCAAATTAAAAAAAAAAAAAAAAAAAAAAAA